TCCATAAATGTGAACATGTACATGTATTAAACATGTGAATTTCAGTTTGTTAAGAAACCCGGTGACGAACAAGAAGCATTACAGGCTCTACATGATCAACAAAATCCCACAGATCCGTGTGCTGGACTTCCAGAAGGTAAAACAAAAGGTAAGTAAAAAAAAAAAAAAAAAGATTTATATCAGTTTAATATCCTGTATGACTGGGAGTCATGGATATGTGTTAGAGATGGAAGCTTAAACACAAGTCTGAACTCTGATTGAACCCTAATGCTATGAGGGGTGGAAGTCCCAACAAATGAAAACAGTTAATATTTATGTGAAGGGAAAAATCAAACTAACTAACCAAAGAAGAAGAAAGCAGTGGTGTGAGGTGACACAACAGAAGAGTTACAGACTGAACAAAAACCATCTGATTTACTTCTAGACTGTACAGTCTTTGATTTTACTGAACACTGTTAATTAAAATGAAAAGTTCAACCATCGTGTTACTGAACCGGTTAGTTTGTTTACGGTCATTTCCATTAAGTGTTAAACCTGGTTTATACTTCCATGTTGAATCTAAGCTGGAGGTTCACTGTAGGTTTGTGTAGCTCTGTACCGTCACAGAAGCTGGGTGATTTGATGCACTTTACATCACTGATTTGATAATAAAATGTATGATACTTCCACTCCTCATATAAAACATCTCAAAGGTTATTAAAGTGTGATTCAGGTATTTTTTTTTTACACCTGACCCTATTGATTACTTTCTGGGTCTAATTGACAAATAGACAGGAAAGTTATGGAGGGGGAATAAGACAATTAAAGCAGCTGGAAAACAGAAACTCCTGTTTCCTTTGCGGTAAACTGACTGTATTTATCATAAGTGCTTGACTGTTTCAATCAATCAATTTTTATTTGTATAGTGTCAACTCATAACAAGTATTATCTCGAGACACTTTACAAAAAGAGTAAGGTATTTTACCTAAAATACCTTACTCTTTGTCTTTTAACATTACAAAAGGGCAGGTAAAAAGACCGTAGTCTGTGTTATGTTACAAAGAAATGTAATGTTTAAAATAAGTCATCTTTTTTGCCAAGAAGGTCTATCTCTGTATGGATCTGTAATGTTGTCAGACGAGAATAACAATCTGAGCCTGTCTGATTAAAAACAACACTTTTAAGTGGACACAGTCAGTCACAGCCCGTTCTGAAGGAATCACTGGTCAGGTGAAAAAAATACCTGAATCAGTCTTTTGAGTTTATCTCCCTGAGAACATCTAATTGACTTGTTTTCAAGCAGTTCAAGGCAAGGCATGAGGATCACAGTGTGTTTATAATAAGCATGTTCTCTTTAACTGTGTGGTATCATCATAGGAACGCCAGGAGGCGGAGAAAATGTTCAAAGGGAAACGTGGCGCTCAACTTGCAAAGGATATTGCCAAGCGAACGAAAACGTAAGATGAAAGTCCACGATGGACAGCAGCTCCTCAGAAACACTGGATCCTGAGTGCTGATCGGTTTAATCTGTCTCTACTCTTATGATCTACTCTGATCCCAGCTAATGTAACACATGAACACAGCGTCTATAGGTCATGCATCTATGAGACAGCCTTTAAACATGTGGAGCCACAGTGTTGCTCAGGACTGCTGTCCGTGGACATGTATCAGTTTATGGAGCAAAGAACAGATACTACACTGGTTAAGAGGTCGCACAGAGGAGCATGTGTGTTTCTGGAGGTCTAAACAGGGTGCCTTTTGTTTCAGGTTCACTCCTGGAGTGCCAGCACAGCTGGAGAAGAAGAAAACGGGGCCGTCTCAGGCTGACGTGGAAGCTATCAAGGTGTGTGTCTGACAATCTGAACATAAAATCTAATCTGCAGTGTCTACATAGAAACAGGAGGTGTTCATCTTCCTCTACCTGGGCTGGATGGATTAATTATTTTACCGTGGAGATGAAGCATTGACCAGGAGAATGTGATGTCATCCGAGTTAACAGTTTATACATTGTGTGTGTGTTTCAGAATGCCATTGCTAATGCCTCGTCATTGGCCGAGGTGGAGAGGTTAAAGGGGATGCTGCAGGCCGGTCAGATCCCAGGACGAGACCTGAGGGAAGGTCAGTACTGATCCCACACTAACCCTGGTCTCTGATGGAGATACAATAATGTATTCTAACACGTTCTGTATTAATGACTGTCAGTCAGATTTGTTTTCTAAATGTTGGTTACACAAAGTTTTAACCACCTTTTTTATAATAAACTTACAAACAACTAACAAAGATTTAAAAATATCTATATATTTTTAAATTGATATAATAATAAATAGAATCACAAATTGTATTTTAGTTTATGTTAACGCTGCTTAATGTGCAGTTTAAATGTAGTGACAGTGTTGGCAGCTGGAGCTCAACATGATGACATATTTAGTTCTGATAATAGAGATATGAAGCAAAAGGACTACTAATGAGAAATGACACAAAGTATCAATACAAATGTGTCCACTCTGTCTTTCTATTGCAGATGAAACACAAGTGGTTTATCTTTAACAGCCAAAAAAAATAAGTATAAGTTACAATAAGTATAAGTATTTCAGCATCATTTTCTTAGTTTCATACCGACCCGGTTTATTCTTTTGAGTAATGTTGTTTCTGATTTATTTAAACTCAATCTGGTGAAAGAAGCATCTTCTCTGTTTTTGTTTTTCTCTTGCGCTATGACCTAGACAGACTCAGAGGGCAGAACAAACACCTAGCTGTGGGTGTGTCACTCACCTGGGGGAGGGGCTACTGCCCTTTGTGATGTCACTAAGGGGAAATCTCCAATGGCCTTACATTTTCTGAAAAGTGGAGCAGCCAAAAGACAAAGAGGATGGACTTTTCTCATGATTGGGGGCTTTGTAGACAGAATTAGTGTTAGTCAAAAACATGGTAACGTGTATTTTGTATAATACGGGACCTTCAATAAGATATTTAATTGATATTTGTTATTTAAGTGATTGATGGAATCAAACCGCTCTGGAGCCTTAAACAAAAGAACTTCAGGTCTTCTGTCATATGTTTAACCAAAAGCTTCAGGGAGAGAGAAGAGGGGTGGTGTTGAAGATGGTGTATGTGTTAAGGGTTATACATGTTCTTTTATCACCATAAACACACTTCATGTATTTTCACTCAGTCCTATGTACTCTCTCATACTGCTGCAAATACTCATCATATCACAAGGTGTGGACGAGTCTGCTCCTAGACCTTTACCCATGAAACATGTCTGATCTGTGTAAATGTTAGCTTTGATTTCTCACTGACATCATTTAAACTTGATATTAATCGATTGATGTTTGTTTTTCAATCAGGTCCAGCTGGAGTGGAGGAAGAAGAGGAGGAGGAGGAGGAGGAAGAAGAGGGAGAAGAAGAAGGAGGAGAGGATGTGGTTTCCCAGACTGAGGATCAGATGACTGGAGGAGAGGAGAGGGATGATGGAGATGAAGATGAAGAGGGGGATGAAGACATGGATGTGGAGGCTCATGTGAATGGATCCTGAGAACCCTCAAAGCCTTTCTGTTATTTTATTTCTATGTTGTTTGACGGAGGATGTTTTTTTTTTTTGTAAATTGACACACATTAAAGTGATTTCTTATACTGCTGAGTGAGTTTTCTTTTTTTTTAAATTAGAATAGACGTTTATTCACATAAGCACAGGTACAAGACTGTACAGGTAACACTGGATTTATTGCACATTGTTCCTGAAAGCAGCTTTACAAAACATAAAGAAAAAAGAGCAATGAAATAAATCAAATAAAAGGGGGGGAAAAGAATCACACTGAATTCAAAAATACACTTTTAAGGGTTTAACATAATAGTGTACACTATAGGCAGTCCAACTTCATTGTATGTAAATTATCTGCAATTTAAAAGGTTATCCCACACTGATGACATAATTTTAAAGGATAAATATTCACATTTGCAGTAGCTGACTAATGCAAAAAATAAAGCTTCATAGATTTAATCCTTTTTTTTTTTTTTTTTAACCCTGCAATGGTGCAAAAAACATGGTTTAATCTTTGACTCCTATTTGACCAAATCCGTCATTTCCATGTATGATTCATGAAATGAAAGTAATCGGCCTAGCTGTTAATTAAACTGTTGAAATCATGAGTGGCATTGTTAAAGTGTAAGAGCTGTTCTTCGTGTGGTTGTCGTATCAGACATGCTGACATAAATCTGAAATAAAACAATGATTCTATCTGAAATAAATGTGGGACCAGTAGTGTAGTGATTAGTCTGTGTGATTCTCTTGGGCAGGGGCAAGGTTCGATTCTTACCCGTTGCTCCTTTCCTGTATGTCATTCTCCGCTCTCTAGTCTCTCTTCCCAATGTCTGACTCTTTCCAATGTCCAATCTTTCAAAATAAAAGCCTAAAAAGCCCCAAACTTTAAAAAATGAAGTAGGTGTAGCATTCAAAGATTAAGGCTTAATGCACAGCAGAAATGGTAGCAATTGTGTTCACATGACAACAGATAGGCCTATAGGAAATGACAACATTCAGCAAACAGTGTACAGAATACAAATGTTGGGACTGACTGATATTTGATAATACCAGCTCATATTGGAATAAAAGGGAAAAAAACTCATGAAAAAAGAAAGCAACTTAGAGGAACAACATTGAAACAAAAGTAACATACAGTAAAACATAAGTAAAAAAAAAAAAAGTGGGAAGAGGAGAAACAGGAAACATATCATTGACTGTCAAGTATGAGTACAAGACAAGACACTGAGACTGAAAGAAATCAAGATGAAATTGGACGTATGTGACATTCATCAAAGACACAAGTCTTATAGTTTTTTATTTGAATATCTTAGGAGAAAAAAATTGATAGAGACAATGTATTCATTTTCTATTTATTTATTTTTTGGCAAAATTAGTCTTTTTTTGTGTCTAAATAGAAAGCCCATAAAGTAGTTCCCTATCAACACTTCATACCAGCTGGTGGCGGTAATGCGTCAAGCCGCTGTTTGCCATCCGCCAAAAAACACCAGAAGAAGAAAAAGACGAACACGTCATCTAAAAATGATGCTTCCGTGTTTGGCTCGCAGTTTTTAATGAATATACACCGGAGAAGTCCCGTTAACGACAGGTAGCTGTTAAAATGTTAAAGATTTTAAAAGCCGTTAACGTAAACCTTTGTGTACTACAGTAACGTGTTCGTGTCTGGTTTAGATATCTTTGTGTTCTGTGAGACATGGATGATGTGGAGATCACGGATGTGGATGACGGTGACTCACCGTATCATGTAGAGAAGAACCTGAAGAACCAGGACCTGAGCTCCGTGGGCCTCACAGGTAACTACACCTGGTGTTATGACGGTCACGGTTCACGTTAGCATGCTGTGTACAACATGTAGCTGTAATAGCCCAGGCTGATATTGAGTCATTTCCTGTATGATTCACTTGTGAACGTGAAGCAGTTAGTCTGCAACTTTCCATGGATTCATTCTTCTCCTACACACCCGTTTTGTGAAATAGATGTCGATTTTCTTTTAAAGCTTTGGAGCTTTTGATACTATCGATCATTTAAATGTCATTTACAATACCGTATAGCAGACAACAACATGTAAGATACACGACTGAGGTAAAGGTATAAATGTTTTATAACAAATGTATTGTTGTTCTTATAAAACACGGTATCGAGAAGAATCAAACATTTTGACAGCCTTTGCCTCACACATCTTGTCTTTCTCTATGGAGATAGAAATATCTGGATAATGTTTGGTGTATGAATTCAGGTCATGTTGGATACAAATGTGACTATCTCTTATATGTTAATAAACCTCACAAACCTGTCCATTGACTGTTCTGTCTGATTCAGTTTTGACATGATACTCTATTACTTTGTAAATGCTTGATACTTTGTTACCAGATTCATTTTTTACAATGCAATATCTGTTATTTCTATGATTAATCAAGAAGTTCTGAATGTTTCAAAGACTGTAATGAGTCAAAAAGTCAAAAAGTTAAGAATGAGTCCATCAAAAAAACAGTTTACATTTTGACAGTGTGCAGGTGTTTGCCTGATATTTTGGTCTGCTGTGGTATCAAAACAGGTGACAGTATCATGTTGTTGATGTTCAATGACTTCAGTGAGCTCTGGTTCCAACCTGAGTCTCCTCCTAGTTGGGTGTGCCTGGAAAACCTCCAAAGGGAAATGTCCAGGAGGCATCCTAATCAGAAACCTGAGCCCCCCTCAGTCAACAATCTGGATCAAACAAATAACCCTCCATCCTTTGGTTTATATACAAACATATATGAATATTATCATCATGCCTACATTTATTTACAAACTATCTGAGTTGGATTTCGATCTGGTTATAAAATACATTACAGATATATTCATAAAAGGCAAATCCAGGATGAATGTTCTTTTGTGCTCCTGTGCCCCTCAGCAGGTGAGCTCTTGTCCATGTATGGGTGGCACCTGCTGGTCGTGTCGGTGCTCGTCTACCTGCTCGTCCAACTCCTGATAAAGAGATTCAGACAGAGAGACCAAAGCTCAGCTCCACAAACACAGCAAGGTGAGCAGAGTCAGAACCTGTTTATTATACCTGTATGTTAGTCACGTGAGCCAAATGTGAGTCCATTCGATCACACAGAATTCCACCCCGATGTGTTCTGACCTGCAGCGTGTTCACCCGAGGGATGTGCACAACTTAGACGACTAAACAACCGACTATCCTCACACTCTCTAGTTTGAACAAGAATAACTAGTCTGATAAACTAATTATTCATATTTTTGCTAATGCTGTCCCACGATGTCGGTTAAATGTTGTGTTTAAGCTGTAATGCAGCCGCCTGCCACCAGATGAGGCTGCCACTCTAGTTGATCGTACTGCTCTCCTCACTCTACTACCCTGATGTAAACAAGCACATCGAAACAGAAAACCTTTCATCGGAGCCGAGTGATTTGACAATATTTTGATCTAGAAAATGGAGATAAAGGTGTCTGTAGGCTGTGCCAGTACAAACTGTCATACTGACCAGAGCAACTACATTTAGCACAGGTGTGTAGACTTGGCACCACTAACGTTCCACCCTCCCTGGTAAGGAACAGGTTATGAGTTTAGAGTCAGTTACCATGGTGATATAGCCAGGTTAGGAGAAAGTAGAGACAAGAAAACATATTTATATTTTCATTTCATTGTACAGTGTTCCCTTTGTAATTGTTTGTTTATATATTTGCTTTAATACAGTGTATAGCTTCTGTACAGTTTATTTTAATTTACTTACCTGTTACTACAACTTCTTTATTTTTTTCTACTCTTTTTTCCTTATAATGTTATTCTATTTTATATATAATTTAAACTTTTTTGTAGAAGCTGACTCAGGGAGAAACGCACAAAAATTCCAATGTACCTGTGTTGAAGTGAAGCTATACGTTTATCCAATAACAGAGCTCCATGTTACACACTGTTGCAGTATTCATTTACTACAGCTTGTATAAACGGCCTGTCTTTCACTTAGCCAGGTTTGTTAGAGGTTCAGTCAGCCCGTGTGGATTTTACTGAGAGGTTTGAGCTACATTACATTTTACCTGTGAGAACTGTGTATTCTGTTTTCACCCAGGAGCCCCACACATTGTTTTTGTCACATTGTCCGTGTCACAACTTCAAACATGTCTCTGGTTTAGGGCATGCCGGAGCTGGAGGAGGAGATCTTGTTATGCAGAATACGTATAACTGCTGTGTGAAATCAACATGTTGTACATGAACCATTTGTAGATTTGAGATTTACAGGCAGCTGTGGTTGTTTTTTTTTAACTTCACAGCGGTGCCAATAAAACTTAAGATAAATGGAAGAAAGGGGAAAAAAAAAGTGAATAATTTAAGATGAAGTTCCATCCCTCAAACAGAACAGATAATGACAGCCAGATGACTTGAACTATGAATCATTTAAAAGTCCTTTTTCTTCACATCATTTTAACCTTTTCCCTAAACATGTTTTTATGAAGATGTTTCGTCGGTGGTGAGGAATCAGGAGGCTATGGAAGCAGCCCGGAGGAGGATGCAGGAGGAGCTGGATGCCAAGGCAGCCATCTTTAGAGAGAAACAGAAACAGGTGCAGTACACGTGAAGTTAAAAAAAATGTTTCTCCATGATGTGTACGCTGAACTCACAGTGTGTGTGTGTGTGTAAACAGCAAGAGGAGGAGAAGAGGAGGCAGAAGATCGAGATCTGGGAGAGCATGCAGCAGGGGAAGAGCTACAAAGGAGCTCAGAGAGTCTCTGCGGTGAGTCTGAGATCAAATCTTCTGTTTCACTAGTGTGGAGGGATTTAAAATGACACTATAACTATAGAGCAGGGCTGAGTTCTTATTGTTCTATGTCGTTGGTGTACGTGGTTTTGATGCTCTGTTTATTTGTATTATCCTGTCAAAGTTCTTCAACAATTTCTTAAATTATAGCATCGTGAGAAGAAGGGACGGGGAGAGAATCTTGAAGTTTTGTTTCCTGAAGTAATTTTATAATGGAATTATCTTAAATAAGAAGCTAGAGAATTAGAATGACTCAACCAGAGGTCTTCTTCAGGTGATCATTTTTCACACTTAAATTGGCTTTACTGGTGACTTTCTCCTCCAACTTATTTTAGTGTTTGCTCGCAAACTGCTCGAATCTAATCACCCTACTTCCCTTCGGTTCTCCACACACACACACACACACACACACACACACACACACACACACACACACACACACACCTGATGTACAGCGCTTCGATCCGCTTTGTCTCTTTCCATTTCTCTTAGCTTGATTTTGCTCTTTTGACAGTAGCATATCCATCAGCAGCACGTTTTATAAAGACATCCAAATGTCCTCACTCTCGTAGTCCACTAATTCACTACGGGGATGTGATGTACGCAGGCAGAAGTCCACTGTCCACTGTTCCGGGTCGCAGCAGTTATTTAGCGTTTATTACGTTTTTCTACTGTTTAGTTTTCCATGGTTTTTCCCGAGGACACACAGGAAGAGTGTGTTTTATAACTTTTAACCGCTACTACACAGACGAAGCAGACTTTCTTTTTGCCCACACTCGTCCTCTCGCAGCCCTGCTCTTTGTTTACAACCGTGAACACCGTGACAAACAGACTACAACACGGCAGTCTTCTTCTTTCTTTTCTTTTCATCCCCCGGAATTATTTACCATTGGCATGGATGCCCGAATTCTTTTTTGGACATTTCTGCACGTTTGGCTCCTCTGGGAGTTTGTGACTGCAAGCAGAAACAACGTTCCTGGCAGGTCGCGAACTCAAGAGACATTCTGCTGCAGCTCGGATTTAAAACTCATCATGCCACCAACACAGACATGCTTCCTGAAGAAATTCTCCAGGATAACTCACTAAGACAACTCCACTCACAGAAATAACAAGGTAACCAGGAGGGGAAAGAGAAAGGGAGGAATCAGAGCCAGGCTCAAACGGGAGACATGTAAACAACGGCCGCTTCCATCTATCATCCTGGCTAATGTACGCTCCCTCCACAATAAAACGGACGAGTTACAGGCCAACATTAACCACATGCATGAGTACAGGACTGCCTCTGGTCTTGCTTTTACTGAGACGTGGTTAAATAAGAACGACGATGATAACACGCTGCACGTTGATGGCTTCTCCCCCCCTTTAAGACTTGATCGAGACAGTGAGCTCACTGGGAAACAACATGGCGGCGACGTGTGTCTTTATGTAAACACACGTTGGTGCTCGATGATCGTCGTGAGGGAGAAACTGTGCACCTCGGACATTGAGCTTCTGGCTGTCTCCCTTCGCCCTTTCTATCTCCCCAGAGAATTTCCACAGCGTTTTCTCATCCTGGTTTACATCCACCCCAGAGCTAACGCAGCCACAGCCACTGAACACATCACAAACTTATTAAATAAACTGGAACTCATATCACCGGACTCTCCCAAATTCATCTTGGGTGATTTCAACCATTGCTCTCCTGAAAAAGCACTAAAAGGCTACCAGCAGTACATTACATGCAGCACCCGCCTGGGGAAGACACTGGATAAATGCTATGGTTCAGTTCCTAACGCATACAGATCTGTTGCTCTCCCCCCTCTTGGCTCTGCTGACCACCATGCCATCCTGCTTGCTCCAGCATATACTCCTGTAATAAAGAGGGTTAAGAAAGTTGTTAAGAACATCAAGCAGTGGACCAACGAAAGCATTCTTACACTACAAGGATGCTTTGAATCCACTGACTAGCCCCCTCCAACAACATTAATGAGCATGTGGACACTGTTTCATTGTACATCTCCTTCTGTGTGGACAACATCATCCCCTCCAAAACAGTCACAATCAACAATAAACCTTGGATCACCAAAGAGCTCAAGGAGGTCCTCAACAAGAAGAAAAGGGTCTTCTTCACTGGCTCCAAAATGGAGAAAAAGGAGGTAAACAGAGAAGTCAAGCACGCCATAAAAACTGCCACGCTCAAGTACAAGAACAAAGTGGAGGAAAAATTCACACAGGGGAACCTCCGCTCAGCTTGGCAGGGCCTCAAAAACATGGCTGCTGTGAACACTGCTGCTACCAACATCAAAACCATCCAGGTTGCAGGCAGCAGCTCGACTTCTCTCCCCAACGATCTCAACTCATTCTACACCAGATTCGAGAAGGACAACACCACACAGCTGGAAGGAACAGTGTCCATGCTCAAGCCCAGTGACTCTGCACTCACCTTCAGCAGAGAGGATGTGGTGAGAGCAGCTCACCTGGTCCAGACAACATCAGTGGCCGCATCCTGAAGCACTGTGCCGAGCAGCTAGGGGGCGTGTTTCAGACCCTGTTCCAGAGCTCTATGGACAGCAGCACAGTCCCCCAGCTGTGGAAACACTCCACAGTTATCCCCATCCCCAAGAAAAGCCCCGCCAAATCACTGAATGACCTCAGGCCTGTGGCCCTCACGTCTCTGGTGATGAAGGCCATGGAGAGGATCATAAAACAGCACATCATCAGAGAAACCGACTCCCAGATGGACCCGCTTATCGTGCAGGCAGAGGTGTCGATGATGCAAAAACATTCATAATAGACACTGTTCAAAAACACCTGGAGCACCCCAACACCTCGGCCAGACTCCTGTTTGCAGACTTCTCCTCTGCATTCAACACCCTGCAGCCTCACATCCTGGCTGACAAACTTTCAACTTGCTTCCATCTGAACGACCAGCTTATCCTGTGGATATTGGACTTTCTGACCAACAGATCACAGAGAGTTCTGGTCAACAACACCTTCTCCAACCTCCAACACATCTCAACTGGCTCCCCTCAGGGCTGTGTGCTCTCACCTCTGCTCTTCATCCTCTACACTGATGACTGCAGAACCACACAGCCAAACTGTCACCTGGTGAAGTACGTGGACGACACAGTTCTCCTGTCTCTGCTGTCAGGCCCCTCTCAGCACCATGGACCAGTTCTTCAGGAGTTTGTGGAGTGGTGTGACAGCTCCTGCCTCGAACTGAACGTGAGCAAGACCAAAGACCAAAGACATGGTGGTGACCTTCTCCAACAAGCAGAGGGAACTGGCTGCAGCTGCAATCACCACAACCACCACAATCCATGGGAATCCTGTCGAACTAGTAGAGGAGTATAAGTACCTGGGTACCATCTTCGACAGCCTGCTGAAATTCACCTCCAACACCGAGGAGATTCTCAGGAAATGTCAGCAGCGAAAATACCTCCTAAGGAAGCTCAATTCCTTTGGAGTCAGTAAGAACATTCTTCTGACCTTCTACTACTCCTTCATTGAGAGCATTATTACTTTTTCTATAACCTGCTGGTTCCACTCCACCCCCCTCCAGAACAGAAACCGCCTGCAGAGCACGGTCACAGTCTGCAGTCTTCTAAGTGATGTAGTGCCACTTTATCCATTTTATATCAGTATTCATACAGTTCTGGTTAATTTATTCCTGTTGTTTCTTATCCATCATTGCACTACGGTCACTTTATTTATCTCATTTTTACCTTATAGTTATATTGTATATATTAGTTCTGTTGTTCCATTATTCACTATGCACCTTATTAACTTATCATTTAGTGTTTGCCTACTTGCACATAGCTCTGTATATACATATTTATTTCTCGTTTACTGCACATAGTTCTGTTTACATCTGTTAGTCCGATCACTGTCCACTTATATCTACTCTTTTATATTTTGTATTTTTAAGTTTAAGCTTTAAGTTGTATTTAAATTGACACTTTTTATTTAGGTTAAAATGTTTCGTCTACCTGCACTGTTGTTAATTTACTGCTCTGTGTGCCTTTGAATTGCACCCCGGGGACAAATAAAGAACATCATGGTCCTGCTTCCTCTCTTGAACTGGTACAAAGACTATAGACCCACCCAGGTGCATGCTGGTCCTCTATTATAAATAGAAACATTAAAAAAAATGCATATGATGGTCTGGATTGTCAGGAGAAGTGTTCTTCTGGTCTCCATTTGTGGTACAATTGTAGTCCGAGCTTTATTGACCATTCACGTATCAGCAGGGTTTGGTGTATACCGGGGAAACAGATGGAATATTATCTGTGCTAATAGTAAATCAGCTTTCATCTACGGTATTCTTATAATGATTGATTTGTTTTAATAAACAGATATCGGCATAAAAGTGAAGCTAACAATCTGTTCTGGATTTTATCTTTTAAATAGCTCTTGAGCTACAAATCCTGAAACACATCAGAAATGATCGGTCTGTCCTCCATTCAACTAACATTGAAAAAGTTGTTTCCTTCTCCACCTGACAAAGCTTAACTTGTTTCTTTTTTACAAATCTGCATCAACTTGTTGTTAATTCAACCAAACCTAAGACCCGTTAATGTAGTCTTGTCCTGAAGTTGTTTAACGCAGAAGAGAATCAGAGGACGATAGACGATGATTGCTGATGGGTTCCAAGATTGCCCAATTAAATATAAACCCTTTCCCACAAAAAACAATAAAGAAATATGCAGAAAACAAAATATACTAAACAAATAAGTAGCAACGGCTAAAATGATGAAGAATCTAGGGCTTGTGTTGAGGCTGTGGTCCCCAAGGAGGCTCCTTTCCTGAATGTCATTACCCACTACACACACTCTGTAGTTTCCTACTCTATCCACTGTCTTATCTAATGTCTTATTATAGTCAAATGAATAAATGTATAAATATTTGCATATGTGTCACTGCAGGCAGCTGAAGAGGCCAGCTCGTCCACCACTGTGCCGAAACCAAAGACGGACAAGAAGCCGCTCCGTGGTGCAGGTATTTAAAAAAGATCGACCTGAAACAATCATTGTAATATATGTTACATATGTCTAAACATGTTTTTAAACGTGCGCTCTGTTTCTTCTAGACTATAACCCTCTGACTGGAGAGGGAGGCAGCTCCTGTACGTGGAGGCCGGGTCGGAGGGGGCCGTCCTCGGGAGGATGAGGTTAAAGAGGGTCAGATTGCTCTGACGTCTTGATCAACACATTGACTGATGAACCAAGCTTCAATATCTGCACACACATACATTTTCTTTAAATTCTGATCAGTTAGCTTACTTTACAATAAAAACCTATCAATAAGGTAATAATCTCTGTGTGCTGCAGCCTCGTTAACTATCAAACATAATGGTGATTAATCGGGGTTGTGAGGGCTGAATTTGGTTTGTGAGATTGAAAGCTTGAAATGAAGCTGCTCCTGTAAACGGTGTGTAACCAGGAGGAGCGGCTGATGACGTTCACAGTCAGTGTTTCCATTGTCTTTATGAGTGTGTATGTTCACAGTGTAGAGGCCGTGGACACTGCAGCATCTGTAGCTGCTGGACACAAAATGACTCGTCTGCATCTGTAGTTACAAAACATATTGATCAGTTATTGTGTAACACAGCCATGCCCATTCTGTTTCACACATTTGTATGCAATAAAAAGATATCTGCTATGTGCGTCTGTGTTTCAGTCTTTGACCACCCTCCTTCACCAATCCTGTTAACTGACAAGATTCAAATGTACTTTTTAAGATGAATAAATGTCTGTGAACATTTCAATGAACACACAAGTTATCTTCATGACTGAAGTTTAAAACATGTTCAATAGAGGCATCAACACGAGGCTGTACGTTAGCACCTTACACTGTGGAGTGAAGAGGTCTTCAACAGAACATTGATACATTTTAGTAAATATCACATTGATGTGGAATGACTTGGGACTTGATTGAACAACAAGTGTGAGAGTTAAGACTAACTGCTCTCACAGACAGTGACCTGCAGATAGAGAGACTCTGACTGTCAGGATCAACTATGAGCAACGCTGCTGAGGGTTGAGACTGATTCTTTTTTATTATTTTATTTTATATACTTTATTGATCCCTGAGGGATATTCTGGTCTACACTCTGTTATTGTTGTTTCTCGTACATTACATACAGTACATTTGAATTTCCCTCGGGATCAATAAAGTATCTATTAGAAACATTAAGTAACAACATAACATTTAATACAGCTGTGTTGGTATAGGTTGTATCTTACCTCATGGAGTGTTATTATTTGGGGGAGGGTTCATGTTCATGGTGCTGTTGTGATGTTAACATTTCGTTGAGTCAGCTAATGTGTCACAATAATTCCACATGTGATGGGTCATGTGAATGACCACACACAAAAAATTAAATATTCATTCATTCATTCATACAAACATGGTCAGTGTAGCATTAAAGCTTTAAACCTGTCCGGACCATAGACTGTAAATTATATTTAAAAAAGTTATATACAGTCAATGGTCCGGACACATCCTAACTCAGCTAGGTGACGTTTTCAGCGGGAACAGACAGTTGTTGTTGTGGACGACTGTGACCACACGGGGGCGCTAAAGACCAGAGAGCTGGCTGAGCGACAGGTAGATTTTAGAATCATTCTACCTTAGCAGACTTTCTTTATACGCCTAAAGAACAGAGCAATTCTCAATCTTTAAAAATGACAACATGTATATAACAGCAGTACTAAAGTAGGCGTTAGTATTTTAAACATGTCAGTTGCAAATACTTATTACCATTGTTGCTGTTTATTCTTTTTTTCTTTAAGCTTTGATAGAGAAACTCAGAACTGGGTTTTTTTCTACAACTTCCAAGTGTGTTAAAGAAAGTTTTAGCAAATGATCAAAAAATGAAATACCTGCGTCTCCTAACCGAGCAGGAGGCCTTGAACAACATGTAGACAGACAACCAATAAATATCTAATTTACTATCTTATAAGTTGGGTTGAATATTACAAGTATGGCACCAGCTTGCTGACTGACCCACCAAAGAATGTTGAAGACACAACAGATTCTTCTGCATGGAAAGGGCTACAACATGTGCATACTTCAGCAATCAGAAAAACAAGATACATGTAGGGACAATGTGTAAATATCAACATCAGTGGTGTTAAAGTTTGTGAGCCTTACACTAAATAATATTGTGTCCTCATCAGGGGCGCCTCCAGGATTTCTGGCCCCCATGAAAAGATATCACATTGGGCCCTCCAGTACCTTCAGTCAACTCCACATCCTATACATACGCCTTGTAAAATAGATGTAGCCTACTTTCTTTAAAGGATTTGGTTCTTTTCGATATATAAGTTTTTATTAAAATATTAGAGATTTTAACGTTTTAAAAAGTATTGCAATCACATGAGAAAATAAAAGCTGTCCCTTTTTCCTGAATGAAAGAGATAATTACCTCAGAATAATGAGTCACAAGGTGCTTGCATTTCTTTGCACAACACCAGTGCCTCAGTTCCACTCCGTGGGGATCCAGTATTTTCAGCAATCGCCTTATTGTCTCATGAGTCCCCCTGTAGCCAGCCTGAAAGCATTTCAGACGCATCACGTCATATCAGTGAAGCATGTCTTATCGGCACAGCTGATCCTGACTGCAGAGATCTGAGTTTCCTGTGCAAAGTCGACAAACTTTTAACTATTATCCACGTTGACTAAAGACAAGAATGTCTCCCCATGCGTCAACCCCAAACCAAAATAAAACTGGGTTAAACCCAACAGTATGGGAATGTTTTGAAACTTGAAGTGATCTAAATGGGAGCTTTTGTTGGGCTTTTGAGGACCTGGTATGTCGTTAATTCAGAAAAACAGAGCACAAAGTTATTTTTCATAAAAATGTAATGCAATATTTTTCTCTTTAGTTCAGAAAGTAAATTGTATTTATTCTTCATACTGGTAACTCTGGGTTAATTATCTTGTTAATTTAGAAAAACAGAGCAGATTTTATTCTCTCATGTGAATGTGCAATACACATCTGTATGCCTCTCTGCTTATCTTTTTAGTTTGAAATGTCTTAATATTAGAAACATATTTTGTTTAAATGATGCTTTTACATTTCTTTTTTATACTCTGCATGGAGAATGCCACCCTGCTGACTTTTTAGGCCACTTTACCTTACATTTTCAATTAAATATTAACATTATTAACATAAACTTCTTCCCATGATAACGAGTACATTTTGGTGGTTTTCTTCATATCTTGACTACTGATTTTATTATCTCTGGATAAAACTGCAGGCTTTCTTCTGATAACGGGTAGGCCTTAATTTCTGTTGTTTTCTTGAAATCTGAGATTTTTCTGCGGGTTGTCCTGTTGAATAGAAAATATTCTGTGTGGCTATAAGGATTTATTTATTTTAAATAAAGGTTGTTTTAAAAGATTTGGGGGAAAAAAAGAAAAAACCCTTCCTGAATCAGAGACCCCTCCCACCCAGCCACTCAGAGCGCTTCTACGGAAACACCGTTAGGTCAAACTACTGTTAATCCTTCGCGATCGGCGTTTTCCACAGCCCGATGTTCTTCCAATGGATAGATTATGATGAGAAAAGGAGCACTATTAAAGGCGAGGTCCCGGGCGGCTGTGTTTAGTCGATCGGTGCTGAAGTTTGCCGATGATCGATGATCGATGATCGGAGGGAGCAGCGGCAGAAGAAGGGTTCAGGCTCCGTCTTCAAGGAGACTGCTGTGATGCTACGTAGGCAGCTGGAGGAGAAGAAAAGGGCTTTTCTACTATGACAGAGAGTGTGTGAAGGAAGGAGACGCACAGAATCGGGTTTATATTCTCTTTTTCATTCGGTTCGGTCGTGTAAAGTGGTTGTTTTCGGACACGGTGGGACACACGGAGAGCTGTAAACTTTTGGGGGGGATGGCAGCTCGAAGCCGCAGAGCATGGTTCAGTGTTCTGCTCGGACTGGTGCTCGGGTTCACTCTGGCATCCAGACTCATTTTACCCCGGGCCACCGAGCTCAAGAAAGCGGGTCACAAACGGAAAGCTAACCCGGCCGGCTGCGGGCTGAACCGGGGACTGAGAAAGGAATACGGCGGGGGATTATGGCCACCGCAAGATAACGGTTCACCGGCGACCGAGAAACCGAGCTCCAGGTCCAGTAATTTCTTATTCGTCGGTGTCATGACCGCCCAGAAGTACCTGAACAACCGAGCCGTGGCAGCACACAGGTAAGTCCCTACCAGAGACCCATTCATGTGTCTGTGTGTTGTCTGTGTGAGCATTTTCACTGCGTGGTTCTCCGGTAGCTACCTAACATCAGCTGTAGCCACTGATTTCACTGATCTCCCTTCAGCCCCACAAGACTGCTTTTTTTTCTTCTTTTTTTTAAAATTATTTTTTTTAAACATATATGCATATGTACACAGTCGTATATACACATAAAAAAATAACCAGCAAAACAAAAACACTCTGATAAGAATGTAGAAGAAAATAATTTAATTAAATTACAGAGTAAAGTGTAATAAACAATGCCACAAGACTGTTTGAAAGGCGTCATTCAAACTAAATCTTTTTTTAATACTAATATTTAACAAAACAGGTAAACAGGGCGAAGCATACCTGTAGGGTTGTGAACATGTTTAATACTTTGTTTTATTTAATTTAATACAGTCTCTGTTATTTTAATGAAAAGTAGTGGCTAAACAGTACTGACATTTAATTTATTTCAGATCTTCAGTCATATTGTCACCTAAAGCTATTGAGAGAAAGAGAGTCTATATCAGGGATGGGCAACTTCGGTCACAGCAAGGGCCACATTCATTTAATACTCAATACCACGGGGCCAAATTGTAGAATACAAAAACGATTACAGTCAATTATGTCTCAAATTTAACTCAACATATATCAGTGATCAAATATTATTATGGACGTATTTCTGGTTTTCATGATTTCATGGCAGATTTTGTCACGTTTTCTTCATGTTTTCCAATTAATTGATATGTAGAAATTGACCTGAGGGCCACGTTGCCCACCCCTGGTCTATGTGGTTGGTCATTTAAATTCATAGATCAGAAAATACTGACGTTTCTTAAGTCATTCATGGCGTCTCCTAAAGATGCATACATTGTGTTACATGTTACATTCATGTCTCTGACAGGTTGTAAATTAAAATCAAAGTACAGCAATTCTTTACAGGTGTGTGTTAAGAGGATTGAATCCTTTTAAAAGGAGGCAAGTAAACTCCTGCAAACTGTCTTAAAAGGGCAAATAATTGGCAACATTTCCAAAACTTTGCAAAATGTTTCTTTGTAGTTCACCTCTGACTGAAATGTTTGAGGAGTGAATCCATCAAAAATGGGCAAGTCCTGCTAAATACATTTGAAATGTTGCAATACCAAAATGTTTTTGCTTAATCTACGTCAATTACAAACTAGTCATGTCATGTCTGACTCATGTATTCTTTTGTTGACTGTTCAATAGATCAATGCAAGACTTTCACTCATAATTCTACAATACCCTTTTGCTTAGTCGTTGTACACAGTCAGAATAATTTAATCAACTTCGAGGGTTCCTATCAATATGCAAATTACCCATTTAAATCACCTCAAGTCAAATTTACAAAAAGATATTCAATACTTTGATATTGTTCGACAATATATGTTTTTAAAACTACACAATCTGTTATTTTAATGATCGATGAAAAAGAACAGAGCGCTGTGTACAGGTTGGTCATTAAAAGTATACAAATACTTCACAGATGTGTAAGAGAGGAATGAATCCATCAAAATTGCTCTGCACACAAAAACATTGGCCACTTATTTGGCATCAAAACGTTGTTGATGTTTTTAATCATATGTCTAGTTTGTTCTTTACACTTTCAGCTTTGATTGTCAGCAACAAACCCATCTTCAGAAGTCCAGTTGTTGTACAGGGATATCTGTGAAGTGTATTGAATACATTTCCCTCTAGCTTCCCTGATGTTATAACATTCAATATAATATCTAACCACTCAATATCTTTACTATTAATTGAAAGGTCTTTCTTCCATATTAATGACAGCTGTCCCCATGTGGAGTCCTTAAACATTTAATAAAACACTCAGGCCGACAGAAAAAAACATCTCCTGTATCCTCATCTAAATAAATTATCCAGATATGTCTGGATATTTTTTCATATATGATTTTTGCTCCTGATCATAGTGTGGCAGATTAAATTATTTTCTATATTTGACTAAAGTGGAAGTAAAATGACTGGTCTGATACTTAAAGTATACTGATCACTTTTATATCTGGGGGGTAAAAGTAAAGTATCAATCAATAAATCAATCATTATTTGTATAGCGCCAATTCAAAACAAGTGTTATCTGAAGACACTTTACAAAAGAGCTTATGGGATAATATGCAGGAAGGGAAGATAATCTTTTCAGTCATCATTAAGAGATAATGGTAAATATGAATTGGTATGTTCAGATATCCAATCGTCGTACTTAAACTATTAAATAAATTACGTTCTGGTCTGACTCCTACATCTAATCTTCTGATTTCTGATCCTAACACATTATATATCAAGGAGTCGTAGTTTATGAGTTATTTAGAAACATTCTCAGAGCAACTGTGAGCAGGAAGGGACAGAAAGGTTTATCAAAGGGAGGCGGCGTGGTTGACCCCGTTTGTAAGTATGATTACAATGTCAGTGTTTGAATACCAGGAACAAATAAAAAATGTCCTAGGCAGCCAAAATTAGGTGATTTCTTGTTTTAATTACCCTCTATTGCACACCAGGTCCTGCACTCTGTCAATATTGTGAAAATAAATTGACAACGTTTGAAATGTCGTTTTTTTGTGCAATTTAGACAGTGTCACCTCCTCTGATGTCTGTCTCTTTGAATAAGACAGAGATGACAAACATGTGGTGTCAAAAAGTATCAAAATATCAAAGGTGTAGAAAACCTTCCTAAGTCCTTGTTGTCAGTCACTTCCATCAACATGGCATTGGCTGTTTCTGCTGCTGAAGATTGAAATGATCGGTGTGACCCCAAAATGATTGTAATATTATTGATTTAAACCCAAAAAATGCTTTAAACACTTAAAGAGAGTGATGATGGGATGTGAGGGGACATGCTTTAGAATCTTTTTGGTGCTGGTGTGAAGTAAGATAACCACTAAAAGTAATAAATAGATAACTTTATTGCTGTCCCTTTAATGAAGCAGCTGTGGTGGAGAGAGTGAGCACACAGAGCTCTTTCCTTTGAAACTTTGATGTGAGGCTCTGTAGTTTCCTAAGCAGTAATATTAAAGTGGAAATTTGCCCCTATCACTTTTGCATATAAATGAATAATGCTTCACCCCCCGCGTGTTTTCTTTTTGTTTAAGATTCCTTTATTTTAGAGACGAGAGAGAGAGCTGCAGCAGAGGGTGAAGTGACCATGTTAACTATAGCGACTTTGCAGGCGAATGTTTCTATGGTTGTTATAGTTACAACAGATGTTAAAGACGGAAAGTGGTCCAATGACTGCCTCTTTATTTAGTTTATTATAGTGTCAAAATGAACTGAAGTGTCTTCGAAAACGAAAACAAAGAAACGTTTGCAAAGACTTGTTCAACAGCTGTTGTCATGAAACAAACGTGCATTTGGCTCAAAGTCGCCAGTTAACACTTCACTTTTTAAAACTGTAACACCAGTGAGGACAGAGGAGAGAGGGGGGCGAGCAAGGCTTGAGCCAGGGGACCGCTGGTGGTGCCGCTGTGGTAATTTTGCAGATGAATTTCACCGTGTAGTTTGAACACATTTACGCTTTCTAAGCACTTTTTTTGTTCCCTGACGGGTCAACACATGGTTTACATTTAATCACCCACCAGAAGTATGAGTCAAGCCTATCCTATAAGGAACGGCCTGGTATTAGCTTTGGAGGGCAATGAGCCCAGTGCATTTTGGGCATTGAAGTATTTGAATCCTTTGGGTAGAAAGGACTAACACAGCCCTTTTTGTGGAATTTCTCTGGCTATGAAGCTCCATTTTAAAAAAAACAAAAACAAAGAAAATCATCTTTCTACTGCATAGACAGTCAAGCTCTATGACAAGTCAACATCAAGAAAGACAAATCAAGACAATAATGGGTGTCTAAAACTTCTATTTGTGCTGCAGTGGTATCAAACAGGTATTGATATTGTTTGATTTTTACTCTGTAACCCTAGTAGGTTGTTCATGTGTGTCACTCTGCCTCCATCCGCCCATGTGTGTGTGTCAGTGTGTTTCCAGGACCTGGTCTCAGACAGTTCAGCTTTGTCTTCTTGTTGTTTGTAATGCTTTCGGTCTTGTGTGTTTCCAGGACGTGGGCACAGTCAATACCAGGTCACGTAGAGTTCTTCTCCAGCGAGGGATCGGACACCTCTATCCCCATCCCCATCGTGGCTCTGAAGAACGTGGACGACTCGTACCCGCCCCAGAAGAAGTCCTTCATGATGCTGAAGTACATGCACGACCACTACCTGGACAAGTACGAGTGGTTCATGAGGGCGGACGACGACGTCTACATCAAGAGCGAGCGGCTGGAGAGCTTCCTGCGCAGCCTCAACAGCAGCGAGGCCATCTTCCTGGGGCAGACGGGAATGGGGGCCCGGGACGAGCTGGGGAAGCTGGCCTTGGAGCCTGGGGAGAACTTCTGCATGGGGGGGCCGGGTGTGATCATGAGCCGCGAGGTGCTCAGGAGGATGGTACCACACATTCGGGAGTGTCTACAGGAGATGTACACCACCCACGAGGACGTGGAGGTGGGCCGCTGTGTGAGGAGGTTCGCTGGGGTCCAGTGTGTCTGGTCCTACGAGGTGAGATTGTCTTAATACTTTATTAACTCTGCAGTGCAGTTACAACAAATAGGAGTTCTGTACTCAGGGTTAGACACCGTGTCCACCTAGCTTTTTTTCAGGGCAGAAAAGTGCTGGCTGTGCGCTCATAAACGATGTCTGAAGCGTTGTGCGCTGAGAAGAAAAATGATGCTCGTCTATCCTGTCTCTATGTTAGGTTGGGGTTGTTTCTGTAGTAGATGAACATTGGAACAAAAGGTTTTTAAATGGCTACAGTACATTTCTTCATTTTCAGTGCCGGGGAAGTGAAGTGAGGGAGTAACAAGTTAAAACGTTCCTCTTTCTCACTGTGAGGTTTCAGTACTGGGTTACTCATCAGGCAGCTGAACTGGTTCACTCTGTGGATTGTGTGGGAGTCAGTCATTGTTGAGACTTGGAAGTGTGTGTTGTGGATGGTTGACCATGAGAAAAGTCAGCAAGTAAGACAAAACAGCAGGCCCAGGTCGAGACATGCTGCAGCGATGTCGTCACAGGAGAGTGTGCGTTTGTGTGCGTGTGTGTGCTCTCTGACATGTCTGGACACGGACCTGCTGCTCGTATGTTCACATGAGGAACAGCATCTGCAGCTAAATGCAATCCTCACAGTTTGATGAAGAGACTGAACGAGCAGATCTGTGAACGATTCAGATATCTCATCATGTGCTCGGCTCATCTGTCAGATCTAACAAAGAGCATGTTGTAATGGTCATGGGAAATGTACTTAGTGTGTAATACACATGACATGCCTAATAATAACCGAGTCATCTTGACCTACAAACCAACATCTTGGCATGTGGCAAACATTACACACTGTGTAAACTCTCTGATTACTCTTTACCACAGGATGCATGTTTGGACCTGAAGCTTGTATGTGTGCCTCTTGAATCAGCTGAATCAGCTGTTTGGACCTGAAGCTTGTATGTGTGCCTCTTGAATCAGCTGAATCAGCTGTTTGGACCTGAAGCTTGTATGTGTGTCTCTTGAATCAGCTGTTTGGACCTGAAGCTTGTATGTGTGTCTCTTGAATCAGCTGTTTGGACCTGAAGCTTGTATGTGTGTCTCTTGAATCAGCTGTTTGGACCTGAAGCTTGTTTGTGTGTCTCTTGAATCAGCTGTTTGGACCTGAAGCTTGTATGTGTGTCTCTTGAATCAGCTGTTTGGACCTGAAGCTTATATGTGTGTCTCTTGAATCAGCTTTGTGAACTGATGAACTCTGTGTTCATCCTGTGCTCGCCCTGTAGCTCCTCTGTCATAATGAGGAGTTTTTTCTCTGCATATGGGATGCAGTGAGGAGTAAGTGAGACTTGTCAATACCCAGTGTTTTAAAATGATACATTCTCTTTTATGTTATTCAAAAGTTCCCAAAACTTAAAAAAAAAATACAGATCTTCAGTCATATTATTCACCAAAAGCTGCCTCAAGAGGAAGAGCGGGAGCGCTGTCTAAATTGTAGAAATACGTTGGCAATGTTTTAGTACTGAAACGTTGCCGAAGGAGTTGTGCAATTTAGAGAGAGTGCAGGAAATTGTCTGCAGTGTATAATTAAAAACAAGAAAAACCCTGTCGTGGGTGTCTAGGCCTTCTATTTCTACAGTATCAAAACAGGTCTCAACTTCTTTTGCCTTTCACTAAAGTTTATTACAGAAGCCCTAAGCGGTCATGCATTTTTATTTACTAAATGTTCCTGTGATAACAGGTTGATTTTGGTTGTTTTCTCAAGGCCTTACTATTTTATCTAATTATTTTGGGATAACAAACCCTGTGGTCTAATTTTTTAATTTAATTTTCTCAACAAAACGGCTTATAATAAGCCGTAATCACAGGAAAACCAGCATGATAATATCGATGAAAAACTTAAATGCTTGAATTCAGAAAGTGTCAATAACTTCACACTGTATTTCTTCACTTATAGGAGAAGTTCTTTGACTAGAAGTATTAAATCATTTCTTTATAGTCAGTATTTACTCACCACTCTGTCATGTAGTTGTCATTGAGCATGTTACCTTTCTGTTCTGTGTGTGTCGGTGAACTGTGTGTGTGTGTGTGTGTGTCTGTTCCTGTTGTGTGTGAGTGTGAAGAGACGGCCCAGTGTGTGGTGAGCTGGTGTATTTTCAGACATCCTGTGGCTGCTCGCTGTGTGCTGCTCCTCACAGAGCCTCCACAGCATGCTAAAAGTAGTCTCTGAGAGCGAGCGAGTGCCCAAACAGCAAATACATGTTTACATACATGATTATAAAAATACACACAGCAAGCTAAATGCCAGTGTGCTGAGAGCACACTGGCACACAGCACGCAGGCTGTGTGTGTCTGCAGGCTGTGTGTGTGTCTGCAGACTGAGCAGGCTGTGTGTGTGTCTGCAGACTGTGTGTGTGTGTCTGCAGACTGTGTGTGTGTCTGCAGACTGTGTGTGTGTCTGCAGACTGAGCAGGCTGTGTGTGTGTCTGCAGACTGTGTGTGTGTCTGCAGACTGAGCAGGCTGTGTGTGTGTCTGCAGGCTGTGTGTGTGTCTGCAGACTGAGCAGGCTGTGTGTGTGTCTGCAGGCTGTGTGTGTGTGTCTGCAGACTGTGTGTGTGTCTGCAGGCTGTGTGTGTGTGTCTGCAGACTGTGTGTGTGTCTGCAGGCTGTGTGTGTGTCTGCAGACTGAGCAGGCTGTGTGTGTGTCTGCAGGCTGTGTGTGTGTGTGTCTGCAGACTGTGTGTGTGTCTGCAGACTGAGCAGGCTGTGTGTGTGTCTGCAGGCTGTGTGTGTGTCTGCAGACTGTGTGTGTGTCTGCAGACTGTGTGTGTGTCTGCAGACTGAGCAGGCTGTGTGTGTGTCTGCAGGCTGTGTGTGTGTCTGCAGACTGTGTGTGTGTCTGCAGACTGAGCAGGCTGTGTGTGTCTGCAGGCTGTGTGTGTGTCTGCAGGCTGAGCAGGCTGTGTGTGTGTCTGCAGGCTGTGTGTGTCTGCAGGCTGTGTGTGTGTGTGTCTGCAGGCTGTGTGTGTGTCTGCAGGCTGTGTGTGTGTGTCTGCAGGCTGTGTGTGTGTCTGCAGACTGAGCAGGCTGTGTGTGTGTCTGCAGACTGTGTGTGTGTCTGCAGGCTGTGTGTGTGTCTGCAGGCTGTGTGTGTGTCTGCAGGCTGAGCAGGCTGTGTGTGTGTCTGCAGGCTGTGTGTGTGTCTGCAGGCTGTGTGTGTGTGTGTCTGCAGGCTGTGTGTGTGTGTCTGCAGGCTGTGTGTGTGTGTCTGCAGGCTGTGTGTGTGTGTCTGCAGGCTGTGTGTGTGTCTGCAGACTGTGTGTGTGTCTGCAGGCTGTGTGTGTGTGTCTGCAGGCTGTGTGTGTGTCTGCAGGCTGTGTGTGTGTGTCTGCAGGCTGTGTGTGTGTGTCTGCAGGCTGTGTGTGTGTCTGCAGACTGAGCAGGCTGTGTGTGTGTCTGCAGGCTGTGTGTGTGTCTGCAGGCTGTGTGTGTGTGTCTGCAGGCTGTGTGTGTGTGTCTGCAGGCTGTGTGTGTGTGTCTGCAGGCTGTGTGTGTGTCTGCAGGCTGAGCAGGCTGTGGGTCTCTGCCAGCTGTGTCATTGGTGTGTTATAAGAGTGTCCATGCAGGCCACTGTACATCTTTATTCACACAGTCTACCAATCCACTATCCTATCAGGTTTCAGCATTTTGTTACTAGTACAGTGACAAACAAAGATATCTTATCATATCTTTTTTCAGCCCTCATTCTATTGACAATTATGATGTTTCACTCTCGGTGTCCCGGCCTGAATTAGCTCTGAATTAAAATGTTGAATTAGGATGACCAGGTATATGTGTGTATGAGTTCCTATGGAGTAGGGTGCATGTCTTACTCTGTAACATTGACAGAGAAGGAGCTGTAACAGTTTCAGGAGGCCCTGTGTCCATTATTGCTGTTTTTGTGCTGGCAGAGCACATAGAACAAAACCAGTGCAGTTCAACGTTTTCAGCGCTCAGTCAGCATCCTATTCATGAAAACCCGCTCGCCGTCAGCTGTTCCTTGTTGCTGCCCTCACAGCACTCAGCTGAAAAGTCAGAGCGCTTGTGAAGTTCTTAATTAAGTTTATGTAAAGGTTCATTTCAATCTAACCAATACTTTTCTAGAGTATTAATTCTGTAATTATTTTTCATCATATTCAGCCAGTATTGCCATGACCTTGGCCTTAAATTGAACTTGTACAATCTTGGGGTTCGTAAATGACATTTTCCCCGTCACCGACCAATCAAAAACAAAAAGCAGTGGATCTTCTGATATCAGCTTTGTCAACAACAATGGCAGAGGTGAAAATGTATGATTTCAGGTCTAGAGCTGCTGCTAATGCTTGGACACAATTTCATTGTTTTCATGTTTTCTTGGTGATATTTCCTAGAAAGGAAAAATATTAAAGAGCCCATATTCTTCTCTTTTTGGGGTTCGTATATTTAATCTATGTTCCTACTTTTGTACGTTCACAATAGCTAAAGTTTGAAAAAAGTGTCTGTTTTCATGTACTGCTCCTCCTTGCTCCCTCTACGCTCTGAGTCTGTCAGCTGCACTCTGTTGAGCCCAAACTGTTAGGGCACGGTCACACTGGCCATCCGTACCGTGCCCTAACACGCTTCAACCCTAAAGTCCAGTTCATTTGACCAGTGTGACCGCTCCGTATCGTGCTCAGGCACGGTACACTTCCTTGGCTTTGGCTCACTTCAGAGAGGTGTGTTTCAACACGGTACACTTCATACACGAGCACAAGCACGCAGGTACACAACGCTGACAGCCTTCATTATGGAGAAATCCAGAGTTTCCTGTCTGTATCTGACTAACATGACACAATATAAGACACAAAGTAGCTCTCATGTTCTCTGTGTTCATTTATTTATTGCTGTGTCTGATTAAAATGGCTTAAAATAAGCTGTAAAGTAGCTGTCATGTTCTCTGTGACGCGGACTCGACTGTGCGTCTCTCTCTCTCTCTCGCGCGCGCGCGCGTGTGTTGTATTAAGACATT